CCCCTCCTCCACCTCCACCAGGGGGCGGGGGCCCGGGGGGGAGCCGCTGGCGCGGCGCTTCTTCGCGCAGGTGCTGGCCGCTGTGCGCCACTGCCACGGCTGCGGGGTGGTGCACCGCGACATCAAAGACGAGAACCTGCTGGTGGACCTGCGCTCGGGCGAGCTCAAGCTCATCGACTTCGGCTCGGGCGCGCTGCTGAAGGACACGGTCTACACCGACTTCGACGGTGAGCGCGCGCCCGCTCGGTGGCAACGTTCCACGGGCCGGGTCGGCGGGTAACGCCCACGGGGGCGCGCACGGAGGGGCTGGTAGATGTTGGGCGGCCGCACGCGGCGCGGGGAGGGCCGCGCGAGGGTTCGCGGGTCGGCCGCGATGGGCGGGGTGAGGGGCGCTCTCCGTACCACCTGCACCCCATCTGCACCGCAGCGTTGGCCCCAGGGGCCTCTTGTCGCAGTGGCGGTGCGTGAGAGCCTTCGGGGAGCACGACCCCGGGCTGGGAGCTGCGGCTGTGGAGGCCCCGCGGTGGGCCGGCGTGACGCAGGGAGCTCGGAGGCGCCCCTGTATGCTCTCGAGTCGGCGCTGCCTCGGGGCCTCCCCCTGCGTAGGGGCGGGCGCTGTGTACGTGCTGAGCGCGGGGGCGCCGCGGCAGAAATCCCCGCATTGCGGAGCGCGGGGAAGCCGGGGCTCCCCGGCCGCCCCCCTCCTCTTTCGCTCCCCCACCCCGGGCTCCTGCAAGAAGGCGCAGGCGCGGCGGGGGCGGGACCTGCCGGGGCGGGAGCTGACGGCGCTGTGCCCTGGTAGCCTCACGTCACATCTGTTTGTTGTGAAACCCGAGTCCTCGCTCATGTGACCCGCTGCTCAGCGAGCCAGCTGGGGGGGCGGGCCGCGCCTCCCCGCCCCTGGCGAGGCCACGCCCGCCTGCCGGGGTTTTTCCAGTGATGACGAGGATTTTAGGCCCAGCTTTCTCTCCCCTGCTTCAAGCTAGGTCTATGAGCGGGACGACCTAGCCTTGCCCTATCTGTCTGGGCGTCCTAACCGCATACCTTCCTAGGAACCCGGGTGTACAGCCCCCCAGAGTGGATCCGCTACCACCGCTACCACGGACGCTCGGCCACCGTGTGGTCCCTCGGTGTGCTGCTCTACGACATGGTGTGTGGGGACATCCCCTTCGAGCAGGATGAGGAGATCCTCCGTGGTCGCCTGTTCTTCCGGAGAAGGGTCTCTCCAGGTGTGCAGTGGGGGCTGAGCCAGGCTGATGGGGACCTGGCCCCTGGGGACCCCTGGCTGATCTGGATCTCCTCTGTCCAGAGTGCCAGCAGCTCATCCAGTGGTGTCTGTCCCTGCGGCCTTCGGAGCGGCCCTCACTGGACCAGATTGCAGCCCACCCCTGGATGCTGGGAGCTGACCCAGCTGCCCCTGAAAAGTGTGCCCTACGGCTCTGTGCCCTGGACGCTGACGAGGAGGCCAGCACCACCTCTAGCAGCGAGAGTTTGTGAGGAGGGGTGGCGCCTGGCTCATGGGAACCAAGGTCCCCTGTGCCCACAGATGTCCTCTCCTGCCTGGGCCGTCTCTTGCAAAAGCAGCGACCTCTGGCCCTGGTGACCTGCACCCTGGCACCGGGCCGTTTCCTTTGCTTTGAGTGCCTTTTTGAACGCTGCTCCCATGGGGTTTGGTTTCCTCAAGCTCTCGTCTGTCTGAAGACAGCCCAGGGGATACGCTGTCCTGCCTGCCCTGGGTAGGCCTGCGATGAGGCATCCCTCTGTGCTGCTCCACCCTCCTGACAAGTCCGACCTGGAGCCTTCACCACTGGGCACTGGGCACAGGCCTGTGGCCCCCGCCCCTCCAGGGTCGCTTGGCTGTCCGTGCACAAGCAATGCAGCGTGCGGGCCCTGCTGCCCGCTGCCTGCACGCGAGCCGTCTGCGTGCCAATGTTATTTATGGTGTGATCCCCGGGAGGGCGCCCCCGGCCCACGGGGCTATTTATTTAATTTATTTGTTGCGGTTACTTCCCCCAGCAGCCCTGTCTCCAGGCGCCTGGGGATGGTGGGGAGGGGAGGGGGTGGCTGTGGTCCCTGGACCCCAGGCCCTGTTCCCGTGCCTGTTGCAGGTCCCCAGGCCACCCGCATCTGGGAAGACAAACTTGTACAGTGGCTAATTTAGGGGAGTGGGTGAGCCTGCACCTTGCGCTCTGCGCTCAGGGGTGGGTTTAAATTATTGGCTTTGTACAGTCTGCTTGTGGCTCTGGAGCTGGGGGGTGGGGCAGAGTCTCAAGCCTTTAATTTATTTTAGCTTTTCCTGTGATCCTGGTGTGTGTAGGCATCAGGGATGGGGGTTCTTTCAGTTCAAAGTATGAGATGTCTGGAGATCATATTTTTTTATACAGGTATTTCAATTAAATTCTTTTGTATGTAACAGATCCAGTGGGCTTTCTGGGCTGGTCACCCCGGGGTGAGAAGGGAGGTCGAGGAAAGCATTCCTGGCCCCTGTAGGCCCTTCTAGGTCTCCTGCGGAGAGGGGTACCAGCCTGGTTCTTCCCCTTGGCTGGAGGGCCTGCCAGCCTCCTGTGCTCGGGGGCCTCTGGTGGCCCAGAGAGGACCTTGCAGCCTGTACTCAGGAGGCTGTCAGGTGGGAGGTGGAAGTGGGGGCAGTGCACGGGCAGCTGGGAAGGGCTTCTGGAGGCTGGGTTGGTGTGTTGCAGGCATGCAGAGAGAGAGCAGAAGACGAGGGTGGGGGGGGGTGG